GAGGGTACAGGATGGGAAACACATGTACACCCGTGGCTGATTCATGTCAATGTATCACAAAACCACTAAAATATTGTAAATTAATTGGCCTCCAATTAAAATAAATAAATTTTAAAAATTAGCAAACTGCATACTTTATGTATGATCGTATGTCTTTTACAGTCCCTTGAACAACTCTGGGGGTAGGGGTGCTGATCCTCTGTGCAGTCAAAAATCTTGTGTATAGCTTTATAGCATGCCATAGTATCCACAGCTTTTCATCCTAGGATTCAACTAACAGTGGCTTGTGTAGTACTATGATATTTATTGGAAAAAAAAACATGTGGGTCCATGCAGCTCAAAACTGTTGTTGCAGGGTCAACTGTACTTCAGTAAAATTGTTTTAAAAAGAACTATTTCATTAGAACTGATTCAAATGAAGTCTTTTTAATGGCTGAGTAATATTCCATGGTGTATATGTACCACAGCTTCCTTATCCATTCGTCTGCTGATGGGCATCTAGGTTGCTTCCATGTCCTGGCTATTATAAACAGTGCTGCGATGAACATTGGGGTGCATGTGTCTCTTTCAGATCTGGTTTCCTCGGTGTGTATGCCCAGAAGTGGGATTGCTAGGTCATGGCTGATTCACGTCAATATATGACAAAAACCACTACAATATTGTAAAGTAATTAGCCTCCAACTAATAAAAATAAATGGAAAAAGAAAGAAATTTAAAAAAAAGAACTATTTTTTTAACTCAGAAAGTCTGTCTAGAAGAACAATTAAAAAAAAAACTAATAAATCCAAAAATAAATGAATTTTCAATGCTTGGCTTCTTAAAAACCTACAACAAAAGATACTTACATGTGAGACAGTGAGACATGCTAGAGTAGTTTTCATTGTGTATTATGTATTGTGTTTGTGTGGCAGGGGTGGTGGGTAGGATTGTGTGTATGATCAAATCAGGGAAAGTATAAAGAGACATCCAACAGTCATGTTCAACCTGAAATAGATTCTGTCTTAACCATCTCATGTAGAACTACGAACATTTAACCCATCAAAAGAATATCTTACAACAATGGAACAGAGATCATATCACTATACAAGTAATTTACAGATAGCCTCTTGTAGAAAAATAGCATATTATATACTAGCACTAATACTTAAAATAGAAAAAATATGGTATTATATGTAAATTAAGTTCATTATATGAATACAATATTTTCTTTTAGGGACCTGCCATTATAAAATTAACTAATAGACTAAAAAAAGCTACAGAAATAAGTGTGTCATGAGATATCTAAAGTAGTGCATGCACATCAAAAATAGACCATTGTTAGAAAAAGGCACCTAAAATCTATGGCTTGGGGGAAAAATACTTCCAATCAAAAACCAGTATAGCTCATTAATATAGTATCTTTGTATGAGGTTCTTTTCACAAGTATTTTTTCTCTTTTTACTCTCCCTGTTCCATTCCAAATTCTTCTGTATCAGCGTGAGTGATTAAGAAACTGATGCTTGAAAAGCATGTAAACAACGCTCTAAGTAGGTAATTTTAGAATGAAAGCTGTGGTTGAGCCATATTTGTCCAATATCATAAATTAGAAGAGAGATATTTTCTAAAAGAGTCACAGTTGTCTTAAATCAAGGCCAAAATTATTTCACCCTTAGGATTTCAACCACTGACTATTTTTTTTCTCAATTCAGCAGAAAAACAAAGGATATGAATAAGCAATTCCAAAGTGGATGATAAACATATGCAAGACATTCAATTTTACCACTAATCTAAGAAATATAAATGCATAATAACAGGAAATTAACTTAGAGATGTTTATTAAAATGAGAATGGTGACTATCAGCATATTTTGAGTTATTTTAAATTTATTTTTGGAATTCAACATACTGACTTTTTTCAATCCATATCATTTCTAGAAAATATACAAGTTATTTTAAAAACTGCCTCCTTAGTTATTTGCAGATAAATTATGGAGATTGGATCAGGCTTCCCTGGTGGCTCAGATAGTAAAGAATCTGCCCACAGTGCAGGTGACCCAGGTTTGATCCCTGGGTGGGGAAGATCCCCTGGAGAAGGGAATGGCTACCTACTCCAGTATTCTTGCCTGGAGAATTCTATGGACAGAAGACCCTGGCATGCTACAGTCCATGGGGTCGCAAAAGAGTCAGACATGACTGAGCACCTAACACTTTAACTAACTTTATGGAGAATGGATCAGAAAACAGAATTCAGAAACAGAACCAAATGATTTAGTTAATACCATAAAGGTAGCACTTCAAATAAGTGTGAGACAGAAAGATTATCAAATAAGTGATACTCAGAAAATTAACTAGCTAATAAAAATACATTAAAAAGTCTGAATCCCAAATTCATTGCTCACTTCAAAATACTAATTCTTGTTGGCACAAAATTTAACATGTATATTAAACCATTAAAGTACTATAAAATATAAGTTCCTTCATTAACAAAATATGTCCATCATTTTAAGGGAAAATAATAATTTGTAGAACAATATTTACAGCATAGATTCATTGATTTAAATCATTGTTTCCATAGTATATATTTTAATTAAAATTGTAAAAATGAAAGGATATGCACCCAGTAAGTTTTATTCAGCATTATATCATCATCCTCTACCACATGTGCCTGGCACACAGCAGGCACAAAAATATAATAGTTGAATGATTAAATAAATGAACTGATGCATTGTTGGTGTAATTGCAAATTGTGATAATTTTTTCTGGAGAGAAGTTTGGCACTATGTATCAAAGAGTAAAACGAGCAGGCAGTTTATTTCAGGACTCTCATTTCTAGGAATTTATCATATGGCTAATTTTTACAAGTGCATAGAGTAGGTATATGGGATAACTATTTTGTAACAGGAAAAATATGTGCGCTAGTAGAGAGGTAGTATGAGAAGTAGCTGCCGTACAATAGGAATCTGGTTAAATTAAGGGAAATATTTCCATGGAATATGCATCTATTTTAAAATGAGATGTTCAACCATTTACTGTGAAAGCATAGCCACAATTAATTGATAAATGAGCAGATTACAAAACACAATATGGTATCACATAGATAAAACAGCATATGTAAACAGGCATGCGTGTGTATTTACAAAGAAAATTCTGGAAGGAAATGCATCAAAATTCTAACTGGTTATCACTTGATTAAGACTGTGTTTGTATCATCATTGAAATTTTCTATGCTGTGTTTTTCCTTACAATGCTAACATACTTTGACAATCAGGAATAAATAATAAAAGTAAATTCATTTACAAAATAGAAATAAAAGTGTTTCCTAATTTTTAAAAAATATGACTAAATAACTAAGCACAAAATTCTGTAATAAAAAGGAAAGATAAGGGTTAATCTAACTTTAATCCTTTTCCTCATTTGAAATGAATAATTCATCATATTTTATATATTTTAATTTGTTACTTGTAGTCTATGAGCAAGTTTAGAAAAATGAATGTGATTAATTAGGTTATTTTCTACATTAGTATTCCAAATCACCTCTGTGGATTTTTCTGTTTCCATGGAACTAACAAGATATCTTCCAATTAAAAGACTACATCTTGTGAATTTTTATTCAAATATAGATAGGTAATTCTTGTCATTCATAAAAATGGGCTAAATATGTTCCTTACCTTTTAATGAAAAGTAAACACTGGTCTTTTTGGTTGTAACAAGGGAGTCGTTCTGTTGCAGAAAAGAATCCTGTAAATAAAAATAACAGATACCTGTTTTTAAACTTCATTTTGCAAAAGTTTATTTATTACTGGACCTGTAAATCATACTTCAGTATGGCTAGAATTTTACAGTGTTAGATGGAAACTGGTGGCAGATGACATTGTAAAGTACACCCTGACAGAGGATGCAGTTTCATCAGCACAGATTCCCGCCCCCCCCCCCCATCCTGCTATTCGTGAAATTAAAAGCTGCTGCAGGAAAGTATAGCACAAACCATCTGCTTTTAAATAATACTACTTAACATTTGAATGCCCGTTTATCCCTTTTATCTACAAGGTTGTTACAAGCATCGAGGACTACGTGGCAAATCACCAGCAAGGATGGGGTCTATTATATGTCAGCTTAAAAAGAGATTACAGTAAAAATGGTGTAACTGACTCACAGCAACATGGGTTCGCAAACCTTGTAGATGGATATAAACCAAGCTTGCCAAACATCACAGACAGTACTTATTAACGCTGCTACGTGGAATTCAATATGCCTGCTTTCTAGCCCCTCCCCCCTTCGCCAATAAACGACTCCCCCCTTTTCCCCAGTGTAAAAAATACATGCTCATAAAACATTCAGATAAAAGAAAGAGAATTTTTAAAAAATCCATAATCATACTACCCAATGATGCCATTTGGAGCATTTTCTTCCAATTTTTTAAAAACAGCTTTTTGTCACGAGGCCCCTGACAAACCAAACGGGAATTAAGGATGCGCGGATGGGAGGATACTCCTCTTCCCTTGTTAGGAACCATGACTAGTATTTTTACCTCATATCTAAGCTTTTTTTTTTAATTATAAATGTATAAAGATAGAATTTAAAGGGGAAAAAAAAAAAAGTCTTCCAGTGGTGTGTGCCTCAGCAACCAAGGAACGTCTGGAAAGGAGGGCAGAGCCTGGAGGGGGCGGTGTGCTTGCGCACTTATTGGGTCGAGGCATTGTCAATCAAGGTCAATCAAGTTTGTCCAGCAAATGAGGTGCGAGGTAAAGGCACACTGGAAACTAAATGAATGGGAGGTCTGACTGCGAGGGGAGGGGGCACAAGATGTAAGCAGTGAAGAGATCTCGGGCTCACGCACCGCGACGTTCAGCTGCGTCACGCCTCAGTCCGCCGCAGCTGCAGCTCAGAGAGGCTTTGCCTCCGCCTCTTTCGCCCAGGCCTCCGCCGCCGCTGCCACCTCCGGTGCAGTCACCTCGGCCCCGCCGCGCCCCGCCCAGCGCTCCTGCTGCCTTCACCGCTGCCACCTCCTCAGCCCCGGCTTCCGCCGCCACCGTCCAAGCATCCGTGAGTCATTTTCTCCCCATCTCTGGGCACGCGGTAGTGACCACCCTAAGAGGTTTGCAGGCCTGCAGAATGGCAGAAGCGGATCCTAACAGGGTCTCGGAGCCTGCCGCCCAGGGGGTGGATGAAGAGGTGGTAGCTATCTTGTCTAGCGATTCAGGGGACGAATCTGACAGCAGCAGCTCTAGCAGCAGCAGCAGTGGCCGCAGCCCCTTCTATAGAAGTATAAGTGTACCTGGGCCTTCCAGAAGTGTGCGGCGGACTCCGTCAGGTAGAAGTTTCGTGGATCGGCTGCCTCGGGCAGTTAGAAATCGTGTGCAGGCTCTCAGAAATATTCAAGACGAATGTGACAAGGTAGATGCCCTGTTTTTAAAGGCAGTTCATGATCTTGAACGAAAATATGCCGAACTCAATAGGCCTCTGTACAACTGGCGATTTGAAATCATCAATGCAGAATATGAGCCCACGGAAGAAGAATGTGAATGGAATTCGGAGGATGAGGTGTTCAGCAGCGATGAAGAGATACAGGAAGACTCTAGTGAGATGCCTGCTTTAGAGGGTGAGGAAGAAGAGGATGATCTGGAAGCAAAATCTGAGGTCAAGGCTGAAGAAAATGTAACACCAATAGAAAATCCAAAAGCAAAGATTGAAGAAAAAGCAGAGTCCAAAGATGCTCTGGAGGCCTAGCCTGAAGTAAAAGAAGATACAAAAGAAGCCCCCCAGGCAAAGGCAGAAGATAAAGGGCAGACTAAAGCAGCAGAGGCTAAGACCAGGACTCCAGGAAAAGAGGCCCCAAAAAGAGTTCCTGAGGTCACGCCTGAAGAAAGAGCTCTTAAAAGAGCTCGCAAAGGAAAGCCTAAAAGAGAAGATCCTAAAGGCATTCCCGACTATTGGCTGACTGTGTTCAAGAATGTTGACAAGCTGGGGCCCATGATTCAGAAGTATGATGAGCCCATTCTTAAGTTCCTGTCTGATGTTAGCTTGAAGTTTTCAAAACCCGGCAGGCCTATAAGTTACACATTTGAATTTTGCTTTCAACCTAATCCATACTTCAAGAATGAGGTGCTGACCAAGACATATATAATAAAGTCAAAGCCAGATCGCAATGATCCCTTCTTCTCTTGGGACTGGGAAATCCAAGATTGCAAAGGCTGTAAGATAGAGGAAAGGATGTCACAGTGACAACCACCCAGAGTCACACAGCTGCTACTGGACAAGTTGAAACCCAGCCAAGTGTGGTTCCTAATGCATCATTCTTCAACTTCTTTAGCCCTCCTGAGATTCCTACTGTCGGAAAGCTTGAACCACGAGAAGATGCTATCCTTGATGAAGATTTTGAAATTGGTCAAACTTTACATGATAACGTCATCCTGAAATCAATCTATTACTATACAGGAGAAGTCAATGGTACTTATAATTTCGGTAAAGATTATGGAAACAGGAAATAACAAAAATATAAAAGAGGCTGCATGAAAGAATTTTCAGGAATCTCAAATTTCAAGCAGAACTAAAGCAGGTTTATATAGCTTTGCAAAAACCTGCCCTGTAATCTCAACACTAGTATTCCTCATAGTCGAGTTTTTGTACCTTCTTGGTGGCCTAAAATATTGTCTTAAATTGTCTTAAGTGTCAGTTTATTCTATCTAGCCTGTTGCTGTGTAATATTCATCAAAATGTGTAAATTGCTGTCAGTTATCTAAAGCATGTTTTTTGGTGCTACAAAATTTTAATTTTTGTGAAATTTTTTGTGTTCCTATTACAATATAGCTGTGAAAACTGTCAGAATTGTTAACCAAGACGATATTTTCTTGAAATAAAACAAAGTTCCTGAAGTGTCAATGCAAGTGTATTTTTTTCCCAGCCCAACAGACTAAGGGTTTAAATCTGCTTTGTACTAGCTGTGCCTTCATTTGTTATAGAAATACACTATTATACTAACTTGAACAGCACATTGTGAAATTTGACTGCTTGAAAAAAGATTAGCATACATTTAATGATGTCCATCAAACCATGTATGATATGACGGAGCATGTTAATGTGACATAGTGATTTATAAATTTAAGCACAATGAAGTTACTGTTTATTACTGAGGTGTTAACATAGTATTTTTAAAAAATATGCTCATCTTATCCTGCGTAACTGTGAACTAAAGGTACTAACCACATTTTCTTTATAATATGTTCTACTTTGCCTTTCACTGGAAATGATCACTTTATATCATTTTTTTCATGTTCTATTGCAACCTAAAATAAATGTCAAATAAAGTGTATCGTGCTATAAAAATCTACCATATTTGCTTCATTATAAAAACTGTGTTGCTTATTATAGAAAAAGTAGGGAATCCTTAGGAAAAGGGATATATTTAAATATATGATTATAATTAACGTTCTGATGCATTTCCTAGATCTTAGGTCTTTTTTGGAGGATATACATTCAAGTGATTGGAGAAAAATGGGACAGGGGAGGACTAAGACAACGGGGAATGGAAGAGAAGGGGAGGAAGGAATGGGGAGGAGGGTTGAAGTAGAGAAAGTGGGGAGGCAGAGGGAGGGTGAGGAGGGGGTGGAAGGAGAACAGAGTGGAAGAGAGAAGGATGGGAAATGAGAGGGGAGGAGGGTGGGGAGTGGAAAGAATGGGAAGAAGTGGGGATGGGGAAGTGGGGAGATAGGCAGGAGTGCCTCACCCAGAAAGGATATCAATGAAAGTTTTCACTTTCCAGAGTAGGATCTGAAATGACCCAGGCCCATCCTCCACTGTGACTTGGGAGGAGGTCTCTTCCCTTGTGTAGTTTATTTTTCCTTGTAGGTGATATTATGCATGATCCTAAGATTTTGGTTTGAATTTATTTTAAGGAGGAGACCTCTTAAACTCAGTTTACCAGAGTGCTTTGTACTAGGCACAAAGTCACAAGCACAGCAAATACTTTATTTCACATCTGCCTTTTCCCCAATTGCATATATTTTCTTCAAGACCTTACAGGAAAGAGTTGCAGCAGGAGGAAGATAGGATTTGCGAATTTCCAGGTCTCTTGCCATAAAATTACCCAATAGTCTTCCCAGATCCCACCATATATAGTTTAGTATCTTGCATTAATCCCTGCTTAACAGTAGCCCCTCATGTCTATGTGTTTGTTGTGTGCTCAGCCGCTTCAGTTGTGTCCGACTCTTTGTGACCCCATGGAGCATAGCCTGCCAGGCTCCTCTGTCCATGGGATTTCCCAGGCAAGAATACTGGAGTGCCCTCCAATCAATCTTCCCAACCCAGGGATTGAACTGGTGTCTCCTGCATTGCAGGCAGATTCTTTACCCCTGAGCCACTGGGAAGCCCCTTTGTGTCTATAAATGTAAAAATCTTCCAACCCATGAACTACATATTTAACCAATCATGCATGTTTGGATATTTAGGTTATGATTTATACAAAATCAGGAAGCAAATGATTGCTTTTTGCAATAGCTGAGAGTGCCTATATTTTCGTTCTGAGATTTTTGCATCCATCGAGAAGTGTGGCAGCAGATTTACTTATAAGCCAGTGCCAAATAGAAGACTGTAGTAAATAGCATGTACCTGGCTCACTATGGGCTACTCAAGTGGTGCAGTGATAAAGAATCTGCCTGTCAATGTAGGAGACTCAAGAGATGTGGGTTTGGTCCCTGGTACAAAAAGAGCCTCTGGAGGAGGAAATGGCAACCCACTCCAGTATTCTTGCCTGGAAAATTCCATGGACCTCTAGAGGAGCCTTGTAGTCCATGGGTCCAGACATACACACACACAACACCTGGGTTACTGCTGCAGTAATCTCAAATGGGATAATATACCGTGCTTGCCAGACATCACAAATAGTAGAGCCCTTAAAATTTCTACATGGAATGCAACATCCTTGTTGCAGCTTAGCACATTTACTGAAGTATTTAGCCCCTTCCTGCTGTGTATTTTCCAGTATTAAAGGAACACATGTCATTATGGAACATTTGCAGAATAAAAGGAGATATGCAGATAATAATAATCATTCAGAAGCACACTACAGGAAGATTGGTGTACGGAGATTGGTATATTTTCTCCCAGTTCATCTCTTTGATTAGGTTTTACCTAAAGTTCTTGTCTCAAATCAAGTTGGGTGGGCATAAGAAGCTAATTGGAAAGACAACTTACTGGTCTTTTCAGGTTAAGTCTGGTTGGGGTTGGGGTGGGAAGCGGGCAGGTGTCCTGGATTTTTTAATCAGTATAGCTAGGATTCTGGGAATGCAAAATGTGGGCGTTGGGTGCTTCAACTACCTAGGTCAAGTCAAAGGTAAAAAGAGCCAGGAAAGCCGATGAGCTCGCACGTTCTTTGGCTTGCAGGTTTGTCTACCACACTCGTTCAGCCATGAATGATGCTAGGGGAAAAAAAAAAAAAAAAAGTCGACTGGGAATGCAGTTCACTGGCAGGGGGCAGGGGCGTGAGAAGGGTTTTATGAGGTCTTCCTCAGTGCTTTCTTATAGTGTGCTTTTTCCTTTGGCAGTGATTAAGGATGAGGCCAGCCATTTCCTTTCTTCCCCCAGCCCGACCTAAGAGGTCTTCATCTCCTCCGCTGCTGCAGTCGTCCCCGCCTTCTCCTTGGAGAGTTTTTAGCAACCTGAATTTGGCCCTGAGCGTCCAGGTCAGCACCATCAAAGTTTGTTCTTTCCCTTTAACATGGCAAACGTAGATAAGGGAAGGGCTTTCCTAAGCAGCAGCAGGGGCTGCTGAAGAGGTCAGGGAAAAAAGGAGTTAAGAAAGAGACCACACAGGTACTCAAATGATGCAAATGCTCCCATTCTGACTGGGTCTAACAGTACAGGTGTCCTAGACCTCAAAGAGCTTCAGGGGTTAAGTGATAAGATAGAAGCTGAGTTTGAAAAGGAATTGGCCGTTTTGGAAAAAAGGATAAATACTCACTTGATTAGGTGTTGGCTAGGATTGGGACAACCTGCAGTATAGTAACTCCAACACAAGTGCATTACTTCCAATTTTATGTTTTGTGTTTTTTTGTGGAGTGTCTTTTAAATTTAAAAATGAAAAATTTAAGTATTGTAACAGACAGCATTTAAACAGATCACCAGCCCAGGTTAGGTGCATGAGACAAGTGCTCAGGCCTGGTGCACTGGGAAGACCCAGAGGGATCGGGTGGAGAGGGAGGTGGGAGGGGGGACCGGGATGGGGAATACATGTAAATCCATGGCTAATTCATTTCAATGTATGACAAAAACTACTGTAATGATGTAAAGTAATTAGCCTCCAACTAATAAAAATAAATGGAAAAAAAAAAAGAAAAAAAAAAGAAAGAAATACACTTCTTTACAAGAGATGTAGAACACAACACATTCTCTAAAGCCTCTGTGTAGTCTAGTCCTTATGATGTCCTTTTAGAGTGTAACTGGGAAAATTATCAGAACTCCACTGAAGCTAATATTTACTTGAGGAAAAAAATTAACAGAGCCAATTTACATGTGTGATGCCTGCTCCTCAGAGGCACAAAGACTAAATCAACTCGGACCAGGTGTATCTTATTATTGTGCTATAAATTATGAATTATTATGATATAGTACTTTACATATAGTACATTATTATCACTGACTTAAAGTAGCATAGAGTTAAGAATTTCTAATAACACATTAATACCACTTCTAGATTATTTATATTTTTAAATTTTGCATGACAGGTATTTTTAAAGAAAAAATAAACATAATAGAGCTATTATTTCCTTCTGTGTTGCTAGTAAAAGTGTTTGCAAGTGGTTTTCTCATCTTTTACTCATAAGTTATGTAAACTAAGGGTATTAAGTATATCTTTGCAGTATGCTTCACTGAAAGTTATCACTTTATTATTATTTTATTATATCTTTTGATTATAAAATATGTTCATTACAGAAAATATGGAAAATATACTTTTCAGTATAAAAATTATTTTAGACAATCCTATTTTCAAAGATAACCACATTTCACATGAAAATATTTATATCTATCTTTATTAATGTACTACTATCCCTTTAACTTTTCATTTGATGTATTTTGGAACCCTTTCTCTATCAGGGCATGTAAACTTCATTCTGCTTAACATATCATAATGTTTCTTATGGGCATTTAGGTTAGGAGAATCTTTTTTTTTTTTTCCCCAGGAAACTTTTAGCTTTATATAAAGATTGTTAAGATAGCACAGAGTTTACAAATATCCCACACTTAGTTTCATTTGCTATTTAAATCTTATGGTAGTATGGTATGTTTTTCACAATTAATAAAGAGAGCATGATACATAACTATTAACTAAATATATATTAATATTTTATTCAGATTGCCTTCATTTTTACCTAATGTCCTTTTATAAGCATATAGAATTTCATTGTATGTATTTGATGCACCAGCTAAGTCTTATTTTTCCACAATAGTTTTATTTTGTCTCATCTTTTCATATAAAATTTCATGCCTTGGATATATTGTTGAGTAAAACATAATTCCACTTTGACAATTGGGAGCTCTTTCAGTTGGCTCCTGTGTC